TTCTCGCCCCCCCCTTTTTAGGAAATCCTGGATCCGCCCCTGCATGGTGGTTCACATTCAGGAACATTTTGACTCTGAGTTAATTGTTTTTTAAACTATATCGCTGAATTCGCAGTAAGATTTCGTCCTTTTTTCGATCATGATTATTACCCAGATTGATACACCATACTACAATCTTTAAAACTTGTTTATAACTCCACTAGTTGATGTGCCGATTGTAACAAAATATATTGTTTTTATAAATACCACACTGAACTACAATTATAAATATGCACTTTTATATTATCCGATTGTAAGGACCAGAAATCAACAATTAAACATGCTTTTGTTGAAATACTGATAAATATCTTTTTTGTTATACCATCAGAGAAAAATACACAAATTTGATTTAAAAGTACTATTCGAACTATTTTCTGCTCATGTACCAATTTCTGTAGCGTACCAATTGTGGTAGCGTGACGTTATTCGTCTTTATCTCAACAGGAAACATCTTATACTGCAACTTTAACGGAGGAAACACTCACTTATAACACTTATTATAACTGTTCTGATAGTAGTGTACAGATGTGATGGCTAAGTTTTAACTCTGTGAAAGTGGTTATCACTTTTGTGGTACGAAAATTTAATTTATTGTAATTGCGCGATTTGAGAGGAAAAATAAATACAAACAAGTGGGTCAGTAAAAAGTATGGGATATTTAATGTATAAATTTTAAAAGTATGTGAACCAAATCACTTCACAATAGGTGTCAGTTCAGGTGTTATACATACGTCATACAACAATGCATACCATCATATGAGGGGAAATCCCAACATTCATATTAACTTTTATCAACACCCTTGTTAAGATATTTATATATATACATGTGTTTTTTTATTGCTTTTTCAACAAAATATTATACATTTTACAACGTTTTAGGATACCGAAACATTAAGATCATCAGAAGATATAGTTAACATAGGGGGAGGGGAACCACCAATTTCAAAATTTCAAAAACAAGTGACGGGTGATATTGATACTGTGTACCGATCTTTTTATGAAAAAAATCAATATATGAAAACTTGAAACATTCTAAATATGAAAGACTAGCTTATTGATGAGATGAAGACTTTTCTTTCTATCTAACACTGTCAACTACAGATAACAAGTGAGTCCTGTGAATGCGAAAGAAATTCATCCTCCCACTCAATAATGATCAATCATGGTCACGTGCGAGTCAATATCGTTAGCTGTTCAAGGCTGAAGCTCGGCTATAACCGAATCGAAGGTGTCTATGAAGATATCCACGTGATTCCTGGACAGGAGCAAAGTTGGCCGAAATCGGATTGAAACACTTCCACACGGGCCGAGGTTAATACCTTAAAAACAGCATGTATTATACAGTTGCACAAAAGTATCAGACATGATATTGTGATTTAAAAAGTTCTACATACAGTACTACGTATGTAAAGTGGTGATACGTATGAATGTACTTTCGAACATCTTGCAGTCATTAAAAAGTTACTACACGCACATGGATAAGAAAGAAATTCAAAAAGTTGCTATTTAATTATGCTTCTGACACTTTCGATCCGTTGAAAACATGCACATCCTTAATTTTGATATACAGGGTCAGGTATACTGGTAAACATTATATCCAGAATTATCACCCTTACCCACAAGTTTATATTGGTATAAATACCTCTTTGTATGAGTTTGTGGAGAATTTTATCCCGTGTGTCTGCGTCCTTAACATCAATGGAGCAAAATGTTCCTATTCCGCGAGCCCTACTGAGTAAACCGGGGTACTTGTTCTGTAACAAAGAGTGTTTGTACATTGAATCAATGCGCCAACATATACATACACAAGTTGCAACATTTGCTCATTAGCAGCTGTCAAAAAGGGTGCATGACTAGACAATAGGAGAGAGGTACCTGCATGTCGTACAACCCGTTGATGAGATAAGATCCAGTATCTTGCACTTGCACCAATAGTCCCTCCTCCTTTATCAGGTTCACCACCTCCTCCAGGAAAATCAACTTTGAAGGGTCACCTAACCATGTGTTAAAGATTCTGTATCCCTGAAATGAGGCAATCTCAGTAATACAGATCATAGACTTGCAAGAATGTGAGTCAAAATTAAAATATCCAAACATTCACGACTTCCAATTTAGACATCGACAAATAATGACCCCTTTTCCTTTTCCACACAAATTCATGTCCATAATACATAGGGAATTGATTTTATTAATCACCTTGCAGACTGATTTGTGTTAAAAAACATATCACCTACCTGTTCAGGTCGTAAGTGATCTTTATAGTAAAATCCACCGGTAAGCATCTTCTTGCTGAAGCACACAATATCTGGCGCATTCTCCAGATCCCAGTGCTCATGAGCCCAGAACTTTCCCGTTGCGCCACATCCGGTTTGTACTTCGTCGATCATCAAAGGGATTTCGCACTATAAGCAAATTTTTTTCCATATTATATATTGAACTACTTCAAGTACAAAATGTATGCTCGTTCTTTAGCTACCAGTCGTTTATACGTTCTAACAATTTCCAATGTACAGATTCGGCCGTCCTTGACCATGTTATACGCTTAACTACAGAAATTATCCCACCCGTCTATGACTTGTTGTCCCATAACGCACAACTATCTCTAGTATACAGGCATGTCTGACCTTCACCTTTGTTTAACGTCGATGCTACCCCATTCGTCATTGTTATCACACTTATCTCCAGTAGATATACTAGCTTTTCCGTCATTCTATCGATCTCTGGTTACAATCACGCTTGTCATTGACCCACATCCTATCTTTAACAGAGCGATAAGGCTGCGCATCACTACTTGACGTAGCGAGGGTTTACTGGGGCATATTTCCTCAATGTTACGCACCCCTATCACAAGTATTTGATTCTACACTGTCCTTGATCTTCCACTTATTTAGCATTTAACATTTAGTATAAATGCTTACAATCCTGTCCTTCACCTACTTACTTCCTTGGCAATGTCCTGTAGACACTGAAAAAAGTAGGGAGTGGCATGGTTGTCCCCTCCCTCCGATTGGATCGGCTCCACAATGATTCCGGCCACAGGACAGTTCCTCTTTTCCCAAGCATGTATACGCTCCTTCACCTGGTGAAAATAAGACAATATTTAGTTTTATGACATATGTTATGAAAGTATTCCAATGCATTGATTTGTATGCTTCTTTCAACACGGCTTGGGCCTAAATATTTACTTTTGGTATTTTATAACTGTAAATACCGTAGACTATTTTTGAGTTTGTCTCACTCAACGAACGAAAGATAAGATTTTAGATAGAATCAATTATCAAGTACATATAAAACAAATAGTCTAGTCTATATAATGAGGGAAGAAGCCTCCAAAGGTCCTGGAATATAAACTCTAACCAGTATAGCTAGTTTGACAGCAAAATACTTGTTACATGGCCCCAAACTTCTCCAAGAACTTGATACGTCATGGAGATACTTCCAAAACCTGTAAACAAAGCATAACATGTAGCAGGATACAGAAAATATCCCGCAAAGCCGTCAGGAAAGGTTACGAAGACAGCATAAATGAATCATCAAAATACCATCATTAAATACTAATCTACCTACACAACTAAACATATTTTGAAAGTCGAATAAAGCAAATTATATAACGTAACTGCAGCATTGAGGACTTAAAACCTTGATATATTGTATGTGTACCAAGTAACGTGAAAGGAATCAGAAGGAGTAGACTCACCTTGGGGAAAGACATTTGAGGCATTAGGGCGAGACGATGTGTCAGAGGTCGGAAGTGCATCATTATGGACCAGAGGTCTTAATTAGGTACCAGAAATGCGAAGTAAGGCAAGAAAGGTTATATTGATTTTAGGTTGAACACACCTCATTTAAACAACGGTCTTCCTCGGCCCGGTTTTCCCGTACGAACTGATCTAAGGGATACTGCAAGGTGGGAAAGCTGGCACAAGGCCAATCCGGCACAGGAAAGTCCAACTTCAGGGCCCACTTGGCATGGGTAACAGCTAGGGCACCTACATGAGCAATGATGTAAAATCTATTTAGACACACTTAGCACGTCAACGGCACACCCGTGTATAAGTACCGTTCATTTTGGCATTTGCTATTTGTTCTGTTAACTGTCGGCTATCGGCTAAATTCAAGAACATACCCATGGTTCTGCCGTGCAAACCATTTTTGAACGATAAGACCGACAGATTTGGACTTCCAGGTGGTTTTCCCTCAAGACACGACTGGAGCTCTTTGATAGAAGGAGGCTTCCCACCTCTCTGGCGGCGCTGAGGGCAACAAGCATATTGATTTTGTAAGCTAAATAATACAAATTATGCATTGCTCGATCACGAGAGAAATGATGAGGTCTTCAAGAGCAATTACTCGTAATCCTTTAAATTGAGATTCATTTCTGATTGATATAAACCGCCTGACTTTATCGTGTGAATGCTACATAGTCGTAAGGTTACATATTCTTTCAATGAACAGAATGAGCAATACCGAACACGTCTGTATTTAAGATATTACCTGGTATGCGATAAACATAGCTTTCTGGCTGTGTTCTACAGAACATGCCCCGCATGCCATGGTCATGACTTGGTTCAGTCCAGGGGGAGCCACCTACAAAACGGAAAGTTCTTCTATTACGACATCACGATGGAGACAAGACAGAAACAAGATGGCGTATTTTTAGACTTCAAGGATGATATGTATAAGCGTACATTATTCTTAATTGCTATTAATTTTCATATCGAACGGGAACGGGTGCACACTTGAGTAGAGAGCATAACACATTAGATATAATTTATCTCGTTGTCCATGAAATGTGCATACATTAAAGACTTCCAGTGTAGGATTTCCCCCCTTTTCATATCCTTGAAAAGAGAAGGGCTTATTTAATTTCCTTATGTGCGCGCCCGGCCGTCAATGATAATCGTCTCTACGGAGTGACTAAACTTCATCTATTGTAACATTTTGGGGTGAATTTGTAATGCACTCTTAAACTATGGGTTTATGTTCCACTTTACAAATCCGGAAAAGAGAGCTTTCTGGCATTTTCCATGGAGGGCCATCAACCTTTCAGCGTCCTGATATATAAAGACGAAGGTTTGCATCACGACTAGCTAAATGTTATCTATGTAAAGATTCATTTGTAACACATTGTGTAACAGACATGTACTCTTTCAATTAAAACAGAAAACTTACAGTTTTCTTTTTCTCCCATTTTCGATTTAATCTGGCATAAATCACCATAGTTATCTTACTAAGGACATATTGCTTAAACCAAATCGCGTTTTTTATAATACATCTAATAGTGAAACTCCTATCTTTATCACCTTGTCAAAATATTTCTTTAATGCTAGTACTGTGACAGCGTTCATTGAGAAATCAACTTGTTAACTAGTACTGTGACAGCGTTTATTGAGAAATCAACTTGTTAACTAGTACTGTGACAGCATTCATTGAGAAATCAACTTGTTAACTGGTACTGTGACAGCGTTCATTGAGAAATGAACTTGTTAACTAGTACTGTGACAGCGTTCATTGAGAAATCAACTTGTTAACTAGTACTGTGACAGCGTTCATTGAGAAATCATCTTGAAATACTGATTAAAAAAACATTGAAAATTATAAACAAAAGAAAGCCTTGGATTATGATCAGGTAATAGTCTGACGTTTGAATTCTCGTCCCATTCCGCCAAGCACTTTTGACGTGCTGTGGCCTCCAATTTCTTTAGAGTCAATTTCCTCGTTTAAAACAAGACAAATGAAACAAGTACAAAAGTTAGACAAGTTAATGATTGTCGTTGAATAGCATCTTTATTTCAGGAATATGAATTTCAGAATATGCAGATATTTTTGTTTTCACTGTCATTGTTATGTTACGGATGAATTATATTTGATAACATTGTGTAATTAAATCAGATACATTTCGAAAATGTTATATAAATTTCTCACTTGTTTTTGAAAGATTTGCTGAAAAATAATCGTCTCTATTTATAGCGAACTTGATCGGACTACTGGGAAATACATTTTCTTATTTAAATGTTTCATGGAATAAGGACATACAAAGGTGTACGTCTAAAGTTTCGTGTTTCATTCGATTCTTTGGTATTAAACATGTTCTGTAATACTTGTAGCTTTCCACGTGTTTATATCGTTTAAGTTGAACAGTATCGCTTCACCTTACTTCCTTTCTGCCGAGGTTATCGGGTACTATTTCTGCCGAGGTTGTCGGGTACTATTTCTGCCGAGGTTATCGGGTACTATTTCTGCCGAGGTTATCGGGTACTATTTCGGCACTTCGAGTAGTTTGGAGCTCAATTTACGTTATTGATGTACATCATAGCAATTAAACAGCATGATATTTGAAAAATGTGTGGCTTCAACATATATCAACATACATTGTCTGATATCAAATTATAATCTGGTCCATTGGTCCCTTAGAAGCGAGTATTTACTAAGGCAGTCAGCGATTTCATAGTGTAAGCATTGTCTTGTGGTGATAGACGCGCTTCAAAAGAACACGGCACCGTTTCCTATTATTTGTTACGTTTGGCAAGATGTTCACCTCAAAGCCAAGTCTAATTTGAGGAAAATTAGAACGTGCTTTTCTTGATACATTATGGAAGGTCATATTTGTTAATAATGGCCTTCATTATAGCTCATATCATGTTAATGTTTACCGATACAATTCGAAAACAAATCTGAACTTCTTTCATGCATCCCGCCTACAGATAACCAAAATCAAATATTCAAATGACATCATTGTTTCTATCAGCACGATGGATTATACTTTATAAATGGCCTACAATCAACATGAATTGATCAACAAAGTGACACTTGACCAAAACGTATGAAACAAGTCAAACTAGTTTTAATGTACCAGTAACTTGTAGTCGAATATGTGTCCCAAAAGAAAAATTGAAAAGGTGTTAAAAGACAAAAATCGATTTAAATGTAATATGCAACACACAAAAACCCGTCTTAATATGCTTTTCAGTAGAATATACACGCTTCTTCACACAAACAATAAATATCAATCTACATCGACACTTAAGGTATGTATAGACTAATAGAACCTATCACTCATGTGTAATGTAGACAGAGATATCTCAACCAGAGGGTGAGATATTTTTTTAGGTTTATCACGAGGCTTTGCACACAGGAGTGATTGATTTTTTTTCTCCCACATTTTCATACCGTAAAAAATACCTTCACTGCGAAGTTGTATTTTTGACCCCAATGCACCGAACTATCATCAATTAAATTCATCAACAATTCTTCCCTTTTCACCATATTTTCCTACGGCAACACATTCGCCCATTTTGAACTGTCGGAATGCTGAGCTTACCATGTTTTATTTACATGTGTATTATACATGTGTTTAAAAAGTGATGATGTAATCGGTTTTGCTAAAAGTGCACAGGGTCACAGGTCATGTTAAAAGAAGTGCGTTGTCTGTGACGTAATAGCGCGTCTCAGCTCTCTTGATCGAGGTAGATCAAGACAGGTTTTTCTCTTACCCTGGACAGATGTATCGGCACTTTTACCGGTGTGAGATTTCCTTGTCTCACACTAGGGTTGAGACAGGGGGATTCCCCTATTCATACTAATGGTATGACTGATACACAATGGGAGAACAGGGTAAGAGAAAAAGAATCATTCACCCCCTTGTGGGTAAGATAAAGGAATCTTAACCCTCGGGGAAAGATTCTGAAGTTGCTAAACACTCGGCAAAGCCTCGTGTTTGGCAACTTAAAAATCTTTCCCCTTGGGTTGAAATTCCCCTATCTCACCCCAAAGGGGGTGAGAGATTCTATTAATCTTTTCCCTACCAAAAACAGGAATGTACCTGTGAAGTGTGGGAGAAAATATCTGTCATTATGAAAGCCGTCGGTCCGTTGCACTTGATAAAAACAGGATGGATTTTCTCCCATTCTGATGAACTGTAAGCACTCCCCCTTATTTATAACTATGGGAATCGACAACGGAACAGCTGTTGGGTGGACCATTCAAAGATGCATAGATGTCAAAACATGTCACATTATTTTCAAATTTGGCTCCCGAATGTTGGAAACATTGCAGCTGCAATAACATCTACCAGGGCAACTGACACTGACTGCTTGTATATAATTAACCTTTTGGACTTCCATTTTTTCACTCGATTCATTTCCTTTCATGACGGGACATTAATTTTATTATATATGATAGTGTATATAGAAATTCTGGCTTCTCTTCATGTGTATAATTATTATAACTTCGAAAGAAACTTTTCATTGAAGAAAAATATTACTATTTCAACTTTTTTTAAGATGACGAACAAAACTTATTGTACACTGTAACCACCGCCCCCTTAATGAGTATTCTCATAGGTATTTTCATGTTCCATGTTTTGATTAGACTCGTCGTTAATAAAATGGAAAACAACATAAAATATTTAACTTTTCTTTTATTTGAATTCAGTGTATGTTCTGTTATATTTTATCCTCCCTTCAGATTTACAACAACTTGATTCATTTTGTTGTATAGAGTATCTGAGAACAATTTACACATACGCTGCATTTAAAAATATCAGTACCCATTTTAAACTCTTCTCTGGACCTGTAAAATAATAGAGAATATATTGTTAGTATGCTCAAACTTAAATACTAAAAAAGCGTAGGTGATTTACAATCAGAAATAAAATAAAAAAAGTTTTTACATTTTGTTGAATTCCATCACAACCGACATCAATATAAATATTATCTTATTTGGATGATTCCAATACAAAGGTACTTCTTTACATATACTGACACTTCACACTTGGCATAATAATATTCTACAAATGGACACATATATTCATTCTCCATCAAAATAAAACATCACAAATATATGAAAGTAAAATGGTATGGCGAATTATTTGCGACAGTAAACTTGCGATACATCGTCGAGGTTTTGTACCGGCGACCTCACAAACGTAAGTTTTTGCCATGTACAGTATCAAGCCTTAACTTAAGACTAATTTGGTTCCAATTTGATAGCAAATAGACAAATGTGATGGCTAATTACATATATATCTAAACAGATTGGCCGAAAAGATATGTAATTCCTGACTGTTGAAAGAAACTGTGTATATTTGAAGGCGCATGCAACTAAAAACACAAACACATTTTCTATTATAAGAATCTATAGGCAAAAAGTGTTCCAAAATATCCCTGCTGTATTGTCATTCACATAGCCGTTATATTTATGGCGGATCTACATTTGTTTGACAGCAGAGATGAAAGTGACATTTGTGGTTAAAATAAACATCGTCTGGTTCACACATTTTGTTAATTTTCATCCATCGCCACAACAACACGCAAGTTATTCGAATTTCTATTTAAAATAGTAAAAGTTGGAGCCAACTCACCTCCACCATTAAACAATCCAATTTTCAGTCCACAGCACATCCATACCATGGAGTCGTACTGAAATGACTTTGCATAAAAGGGTGTCATCGAAAGTGTCACGTTGCCGAGATTATGAGGTAGATTCTTATTTCGGAAAAACCTTTCCATTTGCGGGCTTTTGGAGCTTTCGGTATAAGAAAAATATCGGTTATAGAGTGTGCTCGTGCAACGGTAGGACCTAAACGGAAGAAGACATTACTGGACGGTCCTGGGGAAGAACGTTTTCGGTCATTAGAGCATCAATGGAAAAAGGAAGTCACGGTGATAATGGCTTATCCATGTCTTCAATGTGGACATTGTGCTACCGTAAATACTATAATGATGTTTATAATACTAGACATATAGGATCTAACATGAGTTTCCATTTCATGTGATATTTATGAAACGAGTCTAAGAACTTTTCTGTTTAGCGAGCCTCTGGTGAGCTAAATTAAATACTTGGTGACGAGTTTCATAGTTTTCATATGAAATGAAAACGAGTGTTAGATCCTTTTTATCACATAATCATGATTTGTGGCATTTATTCGTATAAAACGACAGTTTTCATGCAACCTTGAAATGTAAATAGCCGCCATTTTGACTCCAATACGTAATTCTGAGACGTCATGTACTTGTCCTAGGCGCGACGTCACAATTGAATAAATTGAAACTTACAACCACTCACAGGGCTTACAGGTCATATTACATGGGTTAATACGCAAAATAATATATGCATGAGTATATTCACTGGGTACCACAGTACATTGTGTGATAAAAGCGTTTTGCTATGGAAAACACAAGAAAAATCTTCTAAAATAGAACTTTAGGGGAGGAAGTATTTCCAAGAGGAAAACTCTCGCCGTTGATACGCAGTTAAAATGTAACTTTGAAAAAGACATATGAGAGTGGAAAGAACCTGCAATATTACGGGGCATTTCTGCTAGTACAAAGTGTAAGCAATGAATGGGGGTAGGCGGTACAGACAGGAATAAATAAATAAAGAGCACGATGTTTCATGCAAAAGGATGCATTCCATTGGAAGTATGAAAACACAGGAAGTTTCACGTGATCTATCGGGATAAGCACATTACCTAGAAAATTATCAAACTGAAAAATGAACATTACCGAAAGAAGAGCATTCTTTAGTCTCGAGCTCAAGTCACTCGGTGGGTACACCCCAAGGGCCGGGCGGTTGACGAATGTAGCCTGTGAAATAGAATATATCATAAGTCAGCCATTATATTAAATGCATTCCTGTGAACAAACCCATCTAAAATAGATTGCAGACATCCTAGGCCTTTCTCAAACAAACAAGGTTTCAGGAAGACGAAGATCCCAACAGGTACCAACCGACATTATTAAATGTTTGTGTGAGATATATAATTCTGTAATACATATATATATAATTATGTTAATAAAAAAAAACCTGATAAGTACAAGATATATAATGGTTTCCCGTTGCAAACAATTTACATTTTGTATTCAACGGGAAAAGTTGTTTGGAAATACTTTCAACGACGAAAAGTTACGAAATAGAAAAGGAGGAATCGATAGCTTAATCTATATTGCCATATTGAAATGACGTCACGCTTGAAGGATGCAAGTCATATTTGAATGGACTACTCAACATAATTTTACAATGCGGTACGATTTGCTTCAAAAGATAATATCAACAATGCTATTAAGTAAATACCGTCATGTAAAAAACGAACAGTTAAATATGTTGGCTGTAAGCAGGTAGGAAAATGAAATGAGAGTAAAACAGTCACTGTTACAAACACACAGGGACGACTAAACCTATCGGCATTTCTTTCTCATAAAACACTAAGGGACCAACAGTTATCAAAACACTTTTATATTAAACAGACACAGACGGCCGTAAATTGCTCCATAATACTATTTCGAACATTTGAAGAGACGGTTAATATTAACTATCTCAGCAGTAATCATTGTATGTATCCCAAACAAATGAGGGAAATACTTCTGACTTCTTATATTATAGGAATTTAAACGTGGATTTTTTGTCACCATAATCATATTATCAATAAGAATAACAAAATCTTTATCATCATGGAAGTATATTAGTTTTAACTGTGCTAGTTCATCCTTCTGGAGTTATATTCTATTTTGCAATATTTTGCAACAAGATATTAGACATAATCATTTTAGGTAGACATTTGGATCATTGTGACTGAACTATATGCACTAATGCACCTTTTGATAAACAAAGAAAAACGCACGTTTAACTGATAAGCTACCAAATGACCTGATTAAACATTGACCGAATTTTTTAAAATTTGTAAGTTGCTCTGATTGGACAGCGTACCAAACCTACTCATGGTCAATACACACGCGACACAATAGATACATAAACAGTGTCTCTGTTCATCAGATTGAGTTACAAGCTCAGTAGCGTAAAAGTTCTGACATTTGACAAGCTGAAATATTCAACAATTGCGAATAAACACTATAAATATATAGCTTGTAAGCACTGCCGTCGTTCTTGACAGCGTTTCATAGTTATTACCGCCAACATCAGTCTTTAACCTGTGTTACAAACAACTATACAATACATGCTGAAGCTTCGAAAACAGTAGTCGCTACAATGTTACACAACATCGGAAGCCGATGTTAACAACATTATCGTTGATTTTGTCTGGCTACATAAAACTAGAATGTCTACTGCATGTGTATGACAGCTTAGTACTTATATCAGTTTATAAGTTATCAATGTATACATGTTCACCCTTCACGTGTAGGACTGTGTGTAACACATACCCGATTTTCTTTCTTCATCAGGGCATCAAGCAATCTCGGATGGTTGTACCCTACAACAAATGAAACAAATGTTACCATATATTTACATCTCTGCCAAGCATGTCTATATGGCAACAGTCGAAACCGTTCACGTCTCTTTGATGTAATTATGACAACCGTTGATATCTAACACGTCTCTCTGATGTAACTATGACAACAGTCGATATCTAACACGTCTCTTTGATGTAACTATGACAACAGTCGATATCTTACACGTCTGTATGATGTAACTATGGCAACAGTCGATATCTTACACATTTCTTTGATGTAACTTTGACAACAGTCGATATATAAAACGACTCTTTGATGTAACTATGACAACAGTCGATATCTAACACGTCTCTTTTATGTAACTGTGACAACAGTCGATAGCATGCACGTCTCTTTGATGTAACTATGACAACAGTCGAAATATAACACGTCTCTTTGATGTAACTATGACAACAGTCTATATCTAACACGTCTCTTTGATGTAACTATGACAACAGTCGATATCTAACATGTCTCTTTGATGTAACTATGACAACAGTCGATATCTAACACGCCTCTTTGATGTAACTATGACAACAGTCGATATCTAAAACGCCTCTTTGATGTAACTATGATAACAGTCGATATCTAACACGTCTCTCTGATGTAACTATGACAACAGTCGATATCTTACATGTTTCTTTGATGTAACTATGACAACAGTCGATATCTAAAACGACTCTTTGATGTAACTATGACAACAGTCGATATCTAACACGTCTTTTTGATGTAACTATGATAACAGTCGATATCTAACACGTCTCTATGATGTAACTATGACAACAGTCGATATGTTCGTGTTTCTTTGATGTAACTATGACAACAGTCGATATCTAAAACGACTCTTTGATGTAACTATGACAACAGTTGATATCTAACACGTCTCTTTGATGTAACTATGACAACAGTCGATATTTTGCACGCCTCTTTGAAGTAACTATGACAACAGTCGATATCTTACACGTCTGTATGATGTAACTATGACAATAGTCGATATATAACACGTCTCCTTGATGTAACTATGACAACAGTCGGTATCTAACACGTCTCTTTGATGTAACTATGACAACAGTCGATATTTTGCACGTCTCTTTGATGTAACTATGACAACCGTCGATAGCATACACGTCTCTTTGATGTAACTATGACAATAGTCGATATATAACACGTCTATTTAATGTAACTATGCCAACAGTCGAAATATAACACGTCTCTTTGATGTAACTATGACACCAGTCGATATCTAAAACGTAAGATAGGTAAATACTTTTATACGATGATTTTAATGCAATTTTAGCAGATACATAATGTACATTGGTTTGTCTTGCTTTGCTTTTCATTCCCAATACTCAGTGTTGCACCTATATTAGATATTTAAAGTTAGATATTACTCCTCAAATTTGTTGAAACATTTTGTTTTCATCAATTTCTTTATTCCAGAGGAGGTGATAAGACATTGTCACCCTGTTATGATATTGCTTTGACCCATTTATTTATATGGTTTTTTTATTGACTACTGGACTTTCACGCCTGTAGCGGGATGTCCAATTCTACATGTTAGGTCTTCGTTCTAATTTCCCTCTGTTTGGATACATCAAAGGTGTAATAAGTAAGTCTATATACTTATTACTGACTTCTCGTCACATATTGATAGTGTCATAAGTGAACAAATCCTACAGGTAATACTTGGGCCTGACATATGTACCTATAGGAACGGAGGCGATCTGAGTATACAGGTCAAGTATCACATTCCCGTCCACGTCGGTTAGGTAATTTCCCTGACTTCGCTCATAGTCCACAAAAAAATGCACTGCTTTCGTGTTCTGCAACAAACGAAAAACACAATGTATAACCTGTCGTCCCTCCCTATAGTGTTTACCCTATGATATACGATGCTACTTTGTCTGAAGGACAAAATCTACCATCTAATTTATAAACTGCACATTTTCGCATTTTCAGCCTCTAATTCTGTTACAACCCGTCATATTTAACCATATCGGACCATTGTGAATACAATACCAATAACATATCAATATCAACAACCCAATGCCCTGATATGAGACCAGTTCGAGATCTGGTACAGGTACAATGTATTACAATATATGACCAATACAAACTTTATGTTAAACTATCACACCAATCCATAGCAGAATATCAGTTAAATTCGATACTTAAACTATCTGTATCAAGCCGATATAAATATAATATCACGTTTTTAGACCAATATATGGCAGAATATAATTTGATTCAATACTGTTGACATCTCCATTCCAACATAACCCTTATGTCAAATTATCAAAACTCTGCACCGTATCTTACTGCATGCTGGCATAATAGGCGACTTATATGAGCTCCCTGCAGAATAAGTTTTGTTGTTGTGGTTTCTGCTGAGGGAACGTAAATTCATCTGCTGGCCTCATGGCACCACTTTGCCTTTCTGTTTGTCTCCCTAAACACCCATCTTCGTATGACCTTAGTTGTTGTGACAATGTCTCCCTAAACACCCATCTTCGTAGGACCTTAGTTGTTGTGGCAATGTCTCCCTAAACACCCATCTTCGTATGACTTTAGTTGTTGCAATGATGCAATGACGTTACACCCCAAACAGATAAACTACCAGGTCAACATAATTGTAATTTCACACTATAAGACTATCCAAACCTAATGTCCAATTAGCAAACCAGACCAAACTTAATGTCACACTTTAAACAAGCAACCCGATCTGTATATAATCTCACATTATCGGACCCCATACACATAATGTGACAATATCAGACCAATCTTAACCTAATGCCACATTCATTGACATGAGCTTTATTTTACATTGCTGCAATTCAATGATTATGTTTTCGTATTTTTGGGGAAACAAAGGGATAATTAGTTGTTTTTTTAATTCTACCGCAGCAGGATTTTATCTCAAAAGACATTAAACAAATGTATTTCATGAGATGATGGCCTGGTGACTTACTAGCGGCGTCCACTGAAGAAAGAAGTCCAAATGCATATGATTATCGTCAGTGACCAACTTTCGTATTTCGAAGGTTACTTGTATTATTTACCGGCCAACCACATAACACGACTTTTTTTTATATCAATCACAGTATTCTGTTTGTTTGCTGAACACAATTTTAAAGAAGAAATGTTAATGTTTTCAAATACTTCCTGGGTACCAATAAACGCCATTCTCCAGTACAGATTTGGTTGTCTGCAATAACTTCCACATAGCTTTATCAGTCCGAAAAACTGGATATACATTTATTGATATCTATCAGCTGGTGGTTTCTTTACATAGTGTATCTTATAATTTCTGTAGAATTTAAGTCAGCATTTTCATCTGAATAGCAAAGTCACGTCAGCTTTACCTGAAAGTATGATGTTGATGACCTACCTGAATGGTGTCTAGCTCCTTAAGTAGCTCGCGAGATCTAGGTCCAGGGATCTCGGTTTGGACACTGGGTTCGTCAGGTTCCAGGGGGTCTGATTTCAACACCGCTTTAACAGTTGCTGGAGTTCCATATCTCCTCAAACCTATAAAATATATTTTTTGTGATTTACGTCATCAATTTGTATGCACGTTTACAATGACTTGTGGTGAGGCACTAAGCAACATATCATTATGTAAAGTAACAAAGGAATGACGTAGTCAAAACATTTTACGTAATTAATTAGGAATACAAATACAAAAGGCCTAAGGGGCATGGACTATGACCTACTAATTGACTAATTAAAGGTAAAAACATTATATTTTATATGTGAAATGTTATGTCCGTTTCTCGATAGAGACTGCTGCTAATCTTAAACCCAAACACCTAAATAATTACAAGCCAAAAGGTTTTTTGGTAATATAAGCGGTATGGAGGAGCGATTCAAGAAATACGGGTTTTGTTACTGTCAAATACTTTCATATGTCTGCAATTTCCCTTTATAACAAATAATATGGGTGCAGTATTAGTTCCGTAGTGGCAAATTGACGTCACAGTTGAAATATTAATCATAAGCATTGTATTGTAATTACGATGTGCACTTACGTGTCCCTTTTATTGATAATGTTAGTGTTACATGTCAAGTGACACCCACCGCGACCTTTTAACTGGTCGATGTCCAAGGTCACATGACTCACCCGATTTACCTAGTAAGATAAGGCTGTGAGGAGGGTAAATAGTATAATGTTTAGTATGCTTACGTATGTTAATGTAATATTTACATTTGAAAACATATCTAGTGACAAGTATAAAGACAAGACATTGTGTTTGAGTATCTTTACAGGCCTATTTGACATAGAGTGTTATACATTGATGAGTTCATTGTGTTGGAGTATACTTACTGTTAAAGTAGATGGTGAATAAACCTATACATGTATCAATGCATTAACAGTTTTGTAGTTTATTAGGAAAACCATAACCACGTGGCTATTGTTTAAGTAGTTTAGCTATTGAATTATGGTTAGGGAACCACATTTATTTAGCTTTACACAAAAATAACAGTTTGGTGATATTATACAAAAATCCTGGTTTACAATTTCACTTCAAAAGAATCTTCAATGTAAGCAAGTTCTTAATTTTTGAGGTAAAGGGAGATGATTTAAAAAGTAGTGGAACTATTTCAGTACTTGTTAAAAACACTAATTGCAATCTTGGATTACTATTTGAATTTCAAAGTAAGGTTTTTTGATATACCTTATAGATAATTGTACAATGATGTTATACAAAGTTAAAATCAGAAAAATATCACATGTTTGACCAATTGTGTGTATTTATGCGCATATGAAAATGCAGAAATGAATTTCTGCACTTTCATATGTCTGCAATTTCCCTTTATAACAAATAATATGGGTGCAGTATTAGTTCCGTAGTGGCAAATTGACGTCACAGTTGAAATATTAATCATAAGCATTGTATTGTAATTACGATGTGCACTTACGTGTCCCTTTTATTGATAATGTTAGTGTTACATGTCAAGTGACACCCACCGCGACCTTTTAACTGGTCGATGTCCAAGGTCACATGACTCACCCGATTTACCTAGTAAGATAAGGCTGTGAGGAGGGTAAATAGTATAATGTTTAGTATGCTTACGTATGTTAATGTAATATTTACATTTGAAAACACATCTAGTGACAAGTATAAAATGGAAGGCGTTCCTTCCAGAATTCCAGGAGGACCTAGTGGGGAAATTGTCCATAGTGTCTTGACCACCCGACCTACTGCAATACAGCCCCATAGACAGAAATATAAAATGGAGAAACGTAAAAGATGAAACGACATAGACAGAAATGAATTATTAATCATAAGCTGACAAACATCTACTGAAAAGAAAAAATAAATATTAAAAAAAAGAATATGACTCGTTTCACCCAAACTTTGTTTCATCGTATTCCATAGCATGTGTGAATACACTAGTACCATATGTAGATATCCCAAAGCTGTATATTGAATGTCATATATACATGAATATATATATCGGCGCTACAACATTTCTGGATAAAATCATCTCTTTAATATAACTATTATCTATAACTAGATTAAATGAGTAATTAATACATTCTTAGTGTGCATACTCAATCATTGTAGATAGAATTTTTATTTGGAAAAAGCGTTAGTAGTTTTATAATCTTTTGGCGAGAAACACGTTTTGACTTAACTAAGCAGACTTACCTCGCGTTATAGTAGACTTAAACACACATGAAGTTGTAGACCAGAACGTGACTGCCATGGTTGTTTCACACGATGTTGGTTTCAGAAGCAGTCGCAACTGGTTTTAACGTGGTCTTACCCTACTGCGAGTGTTTATCACCTACTGTCAGGGCTACAATCCCACTACAATATCACAAAAGTGAAGATAACAAAGCCGTAGCATCATTTCGACCAATACGAACTTGCGGAACTGCACTCTCTGACGAACAAATAATTGCGTAATTAATTTATAACATTTCAAATACTTTTACCTATAAAGGCCTTTTGTAAGTGTCAATGTTGTATGGTGTGCATGTAATAGATTTGTGTGTGGTACATGTTGCAGGGAGTGATTTTCTCTAACACGCCACATATGTATCTATTTTTAAACATCACCTGTTTTATCTGCGTACAGAGTCCAGTTTTCGTACAGTACATTTTACTAATTTTGCAGTGATTCCCCTGTCAAGGGATTTCAGTATTCGATAAACAACAAATTAATTTAACACCTTTTTACAAGCAGACTTTCTGCACCCCATCAATCCTTTCCGAAACCTAAATTACAAATAGATTCGACTGAAAAATCGTGAAGCTATGGTGCGCTACACCTGGAGGGTAAATGACCGAACCAAGAAAGAAAAGTTGGGATCTATAAAAAATAACTTGCCCTTTCGTTCGAAAAAGGTTCCAGTGATGTAGATATGAAGGTTTCGGCTTTTTATATGGGGAAAAGGGAGCTGAACATTTCATTACCAATGTCTACTATAAACACAGTTTTTTTCTGACTTTGAAATCAAAGATGGCTGTATTGGGCTCTGATAAGCATAAATTTCGATTTTCTTTCAATTTAAATCTCGACAGCTTTAACGAAACGTTTTAAGGCAATGTTCCGTCCCTCTCATAACACCCTGACTCAGGGTTGTCATTAAGTCTGCTGACTAAATCACAATCAAATATCGCCGACCAGTCCTCTGAATTGCCTGACATTTTCAACTTTTACACAATTCCCAATAGGTCAATTGCTAATAACCCTGAGTCAGTGTTGTTATATTTCTGGTTAAAAAATGTCCCATTCCTCTGACTCATTCTAAATCATACCAGATAGGTTTGAACAAAAGTTTCTATCACTGACGCCCACGTGCCAATGGGCGTAGCTATAATTAGGTGGCAGATCTGACAGGTACGTACAGATCAAAGTACCTTTTAACGACGCTTTAATTTTTTCCTTACTTCCAGTGGTATGTCATAAATGATCACGATGGCGGAGTGGAATGTCCTAATGAGCATTGCTGCTGACGTATCTAGCGATCTTGACGACCTCCATTTATCACATGCAGGCGAAAGCTTTGAAGTAGAGCCTGTGTAGATCTTAAGAACATCATTCTCGATACTCCAGGGGTACGCTCACTTTCGCTCTTTGCACCCCTGGAATATATCATAGGCATAGCACAATCGAAGGTACGCGGCTGGCTTTTTGATTGGTTCAGATGGGAATAAAACCCTGACCAATCGCTGGACTGATATCTATCTTTTGCAGATTACAGAGTAGCGTCATCCGACTTCAAAGCGAAAGTGAGCGTAGCCCTTGAAGCATTTAGGATGTCAAAACAGTGGGTGGATGCTACTGGCAACCGATTTGGTACCCTTGTCACTGCAACGGATATAGAAAATCTATAAAGAGCAAAAACAGAACAAAAACACTAAGAGGAAAACTTCGTGGGGTTTCCCGGTGTTTGAAGAATAGCTGACCTTCCCAAATGTCAGAAGAGCGGACATTGAGGTGTTCCCCGAAATCCTCACAGCAGAGAGATTAGACCACGTGCATTCTTGTTTTGTGAGCGAAGCCCATAGAGGGGGTGGCTTTGATTGCATCTGATACAAAAATTATTTGTTTTTGTTTCATTTTAGTGTGTACCGCCTCTAAATGGTAGATCGTACCAATCAGCGCAGCCATGCGATATTTCAGATATCACACGTCGTTGGTATGCAATATATCGCTTAGAAAAGAAACACTGAGGCGTCATTTGTATTCCCATTTTCTCAAGTTTACAAAACCATTTCAACTTTTGTCTAGTTTCGATAAGAACAGAAAGACGTTGAAATTGACCCTTTTTGTCCAAGTTTAGTGTCGGAAATATCTACTCGTGAACTTCAAGCTTAAAACAGCTGCTTTGTCGAAATGGAGAGGTTTTTCCATCTCTCCACAGGATTTATGATCTTTCAGATTAGTTGTCCGAGGGGAACAGATATGTGTCTGCGTTATTTAATTTTTTCAATGTGGAGCAGGAACAATAGTTTGAAAACGCGAGGTGCGTGGGGGTTCCAATGTAAAGATGCAATCCTGAGCATTTCTCTCGATCAATTCTGATTTCAGACCTTTCCTTGGAATCCGATAATCGATCTACATGTCAAGCCTTTGGGCAAACGCCTGTACATTTGGTTTTCACCCAGCTAATTCAGGTGGTTGTGAGTTTCCTTTATTATTTTCCATTTACACGATTCGCTCATGTTTCCTTCGGCGAGGAATTCATAAGTGCAGAAATGGAGTAGATCGGTCATGCAACTGTAATACATTTATTATGTTATTATTGGTAACTGAATCTGTATTTGAGAATGCAGCTACATATAAGAATAGATGGTGTGCTATAGGATATTAGATCGGACCAGATCGACACCAGTCCTTTGCTTCTCCTTAAATGCATTTGTATGACTTTTAAGAGGTCTTCTCTATTGAATAGATCGTAAAAATGAACTTAATATATCTTAGTCATATCATTACAAGTTTGATTAATGAAATATTTGCGCAAAAGTTTTAATCGCATTATGGAATAAGGCCCCGGGAAGTGTGGCATATGGATTAGATTGATCGGGTACGGTGAAGATCAGGTGATCATCTGTGCAAAAGTTACGGATTTTGGCGTTGAGATCATGTGACGACATGTATCATAGTACATATACGTTTAACTTGGGGCAATTGATACAGAACACGAGAAATGAGCAGTTTTTTGTTGACAAGTTAAGCGAAGTAGGGGGAATTTCCTCGTCAACTTGGACGGGGGTTGGCCTTTCACACTCAGATTGCTTCCTCATAAGTACACACTTCATGTAGGACTTGATACTAAGATCATTTTACCATAGACACACTGTTTGTAGGACTTGTACACTCGAATAGTCCATGTCTCCATAGATACACACTTCGCACGGCCGTTTTCTTACTCTACGTCGAGGACTTGTACACTCATTTCGTCCTCTCCCATACATGTTGGTGCTCACTACTTTGTATAAAATGCAGAAACTTGGAAATGGGTTCAACATGTCAGCCAAAGGTTTAGGTACACTTTATTGCTCCTTTATTACGGTTGAATATGATGGTAATCATGAAGGCGCTAATTACAAAAATGTGGTGAAGAAAATCCAATCAAATGTATTTTGTATAACAAACCACATGTACTCTCATTGGCTGTATACCTTATGACTATTCGTAAAATTAACAACGGTTCCCTGTATGAGGGTACTTAAAATGAAAATCTGTATCCTGAAGGAGAGTACGTAGGATGAACAGCTGTGACTTGTATGAGCGTACGTAAAATGAAAATCTGTATCCTGCATGAGAGTACGTAGAATAAACAGCTGTGTCCTGTGTGAGGGTACGTGTAATGAACAGCTGTGTCCTGTGTGAGGGTACGTAGAATTAACAACTGTGTCCTGTATGAGGGTACGTGTAATAAACAGCTGTGTCCTGTATGAGGGTACGTGTAATGAATAGCTGTGTCCTTTATGAGTATACGTGTAATGAACAGCTGTGTCCTGTATGAGGGTACGTGTAATAAACAGCTGTGTCCTGTATGAGGGTACGTGTAATAAACAGCTGTGTCCTGTATGAGTATACGTGTAATGAACAGCTGTGTCCTGTATGAGGGTACGTGTAATAAACAGCTGTGTCCTTTATGAGTATACGTGTAATGAACAGCTGTGTCCTGTATGAGGGTACGTGTAATAAACAGCTGTGTCCTGTATGAGGGTACGTGTAATAAACAGCTGTGTCCTGTATGAGTATACGTGTAATGAACAGCTGTGTCCTGTATGAGGGTACGTGTAATAAACAGCTGTGTCCTGTATGAGGGTACGTGTAATAAACAGCTGTGTCCTGTATGAGTATACGTGTAATGAACAGCTGTGTCCTGTATGAGGGTACGTGTAATAAACAGCTGTGTCCTGTATGAGTATACGTGTAATGAACAGCTGTGTCCTGTATGAGGGTACGTGTAATAAACAGCTGTGTCCTGTATGAGGGTACGTGTAATAAACAGCTGTGTCCTGTATGGGGGTACGTGTAATAAACAGCTGTGTCCTGTATGGGGGTACGTGTAATGAACAGCTGTGTCCTGTATGAGTATACGTGTAATGAACAGCTGTGTCCTGTATGAGGGTACGTGTAATAAACAGCTGTGTCCTGTATGAGGGTACGTGTAATAAACAGCTGTGTCCTGTATGAGGGTACGTGTAATAAACAGCTGTGTCCTGTATGAGTATACGTGTAATGAACAGCTGTGTCCTGTATGAGGGTACGTGTAATAAACAGCTGTGTCCTTTATGAGTATACGTGTAATGAACAGCTGTGTCCTGTATGAGGGTACGTGTAATAAACAGCTGTGTCCTGTATGAGGGTACGTGTAATAAACAGCTGTGTCCTGTATGAGGGTACGTGTAATAAACAGCTGTGTCCTGTATGAGGGTACGTGTAATAAACAGCTGTGTCCTGTATGAGGGTACGTGTAATAAACAGCTGTGTCCTGTATGAGGGTACGTGTAATAAACAGCTGTGTCCTGTATGGGGGTACGTGTAATAAACAGCTGTGTCCTGTATGGGGGTACGTGTAATGAACAGTTGTGTCCTGTATGAGTATACGTGTAATGAACAGCTGTGTCCTGTATGAGGGTACGTGTAATAAACAGCTGTGTCCTTTATGAGTATACGTGTAATGAACAGCTGTGTCCTGTATGAGGGTACGTGTAATAAACAGCTGTGTCCTGTATGAGGGTACGTGTAATAAACAGTTGTGTCCTGTATGGGGGTACGTGTAATAAACAGCTGTGTCCTGTATGGGGGTACGTGTAATGAACAGTTGTGTCCTGTATGAGTA